TCTCCTTGCATTCCACTCTTGAAGCAGTCAGTCACCAACGAATTCTTTCTTCTTGTCCATCATCCACTCCCTTCAGACTCTACCCTCTTCACTCTTGCTCTTAGTTCTAATACTTTTATACTTTTAATTTACACTCATTCGCTTTATGGTATGAAAGCTGCACGTTTAATTTTGTACTGATTTTTTTTGCAGAACATTCCATGTCTGAAAAATCGCCAGCAGTTTGCTTGGCTGTCTGGAGCTACTTGCTCGTTTGTGCTTCCTCTGTGCTCTATGACCGCCCCTATATCCCTACGACTCCGCCAATCCCGGTGGTTCCAAGGTCACCAAAGCCGAACGATAAGCTACACCTTGTTCAAGTAGTAAGTGCTGGGTATGATTCTCCTTCCATGATGGTTGAATAAGGATATAAATTCATGGTCTAAAATTGACTGATTTAAATTTAAGGTCTGGCGCCATGGAGATCGTGCCCCCACGATGACCTATCCAACCGACGTACATCAAGAAGATGCATGGCCCTATGGATGGGGAGAGCTCACTGAGGTAAACAGTTCGAAAGAATTCATAGAAGTGGAAGAGTGTCAAGCGTTTCTTAAGAAGTTTCCTCTGTTTTCGCTACCGTTCATAATTTGAAAAAACGTTTGTAGAAGCTTTGTTGAACGCACTTGCTTATTTGTCAACAGAAACGTAATTTGTCGCGCTGTGGGCGTCGCGTGCGACGTCGCGCCCGCAAGTGGCGATTACGAGTAGTAGATGGAGACAACAGGCAACTTATTAGGTTGTCCGGAAAGTTCTCAGCGTTTTGGGTGTTTCACTTTAAACGATCGTAACTTTTTTAATACTCATCGGATTCAACCGAAATAGGCACCATTCGAATCAGCACACTTTTGCCAATGTGACAGCAGTCGAGAAATCCCATCAAAGTAAAAAACTGGGTGGTCGAAAATTCACGAAATCCACGAAGGCTTTTTTGCCTGGTCCTGATTGATGAAGTATTTTCCAGCAAGGGAGTTCTGAAAATGTTAGAAAAGGTGATAGTCGGTTGGCGAAAGGTCTGAAGAATATGGCGGTTGAGGTAGAACTTCAACCCCCAATTCGTTCAATTTATGGATAGTGATTTGTGAAACGTGTGGGCGGGCGTTGTCATGCAAAGGAATCGGACCCTTTCTTTTGATAAGTGTTGGCTGCATCTGACAAAATTTTCGGTACAATTCGTCGATTTCTTCACAGTAGGGTTCTGCTGTGATGGTTTGGCCTGGTGATAAAAAGTTATAGTGGATCACACCAGCCGATGACCACCAAGCCGTGACCAGAATCTTTTTTCGTGAGGGTTCGGCTTTGAAAATTACCTCGGTTCGTCGAAATCCAACCACTGTCCGGAACGTCTCCTGTTATCATACATGACCCATTTTTCATCACAGGTGACAATTCGGTCCAAAAACAGGTCGTTTCTGCTGCGCAAAAGCAATGCAGAAGGAACCTCGAGACGTGCCGATTCCTGCCGGTCACTCCGATTGTGGGGCACCCAATTGTCGAAGTTTTCACCTTCCCACGCGTTTCCAACCAATATGCAACACTGGATTTGTCTAAGGCCGGTACTCTTCTGCTATCTCTCGAACGTTTGGAATGGATCGAGCCTGCACAAATCCTCTTTAAAATTCCTCGTCAGAGTATTGGCTTCACCGGTCGACTCTATGAAGGTCATCTCAAGGCTGAAATCTCCAGAACGAAATTTGTTGAGCCATTGCCGCACAGTGCTTTCTCTAGCACTATTGGGCCCCCACACCTGGTTAATTTTTGAGCTGTTTATTGCGGATTGCCCTATTTCATAGCGAAGAAAAAAATACTGCGTTCGCGAAGTGCTCTTTTCAACATGCTTGAAGAATCTTAAAAAAAGGTTTTATCGAAGCAATGATAAACGGCAATTATACCATCAGATAGCGCAAGAAATTCTCTACAGGATGTGCTACTGAGAAGCAAGGCAGAATGAGTTTTTAATCAGCAGTGAATGTACAAAAAATAGGTGCACAAAACGCTGAGAACTTTCCGGACAACCTAATAGAAGCCGAATGCGGTCATTATGGTCTTACTATGACGGGGTCTACTTAGGGGAGAGACGATAAAGAGGATTCGTAATTTGCCGCACCGCACCGCGGCGATGGCGGGCGTTTTCATAACTCGTTTTAACCTGTCGACGGAGCACCGGACTGTAAGACCCCGTCATCGTAGACAGTCATTACTGTTTTCGGTCCTTAATTGCATGTTGTAGCCATCTACTACCTGGAACCATCGTCCTTTGCAGACGAGACGTCGCATGCGACGCCCAGCAGCGCGGCGAATTACGATCCTCTTGTCACATACCCGTCTACACTGAAAATCGGTGTTCCAATCGACAGGTTAATATACGAGCTAAGAAAACGACGCGCCCATCGCCTCGCGCCGGCGGATCGCATAACACGTTATCCTGCCGTGCAACTAACCAAAGCTAGCCATCAGTCAGAAGGCATGGAATGAGCCAACCCGTAGCATCTTTTAGCACTGGCTGTTTTCTCACTGAACACATCCATGATTGGTAGAAAACGCAGCCGGGGTGTGCTCACACCATCTTTCCCGCTCCGGGCTGCCACAAACACACCTCACACACAAACAGCGCCGGCTGATTCGTGACACGCTCGCCACTTCATCAATGCATGGTTCTGTTTCAAACAGCAACCAGCAAAAAAAAGGGAGTGCCATGCCACGCACGAATGTACAGAAACGGGGTGGCGAGCCGATATGCAAAAGGCAGCTTCCAGGGCGGGCCGCAACACCACCTACCGTGGGCGGCGAAAAACTGGCCTGTTTGATACACAGCGGTTCAAAGAACCCTCCGACCAGATGAGTGGTCTATAGAGTAAACAGAAGAAGGAATTTTTCATGCTGATCCTGGCTTCAAACTGTTCTAGATTCAGGGGACTAGAACAGCACAACAAACCGTGATTTTTCCGCAAGTAACAACACCACCACACATACACAGTAGACGATGCACGAAACAATCTGAGCGACGTCGCGCATCCGCAATACCATCTTCCACTAGAAATTTTCATCCCGAGATCAGCAGATCATTGCCACATTTGTATGTAAAGTGACTGAATGGTGATGTTACTCGTTTGTCTGAATCAAGAATAGTCTTGTCTTGCGGTGCACATCGCTCACTGGCGTGGCAGCAGAAGCCGGCTTTGTGCTTTCGCGTGTCGCTATCCTCTCCATAACCATGGAAAACGGGCTAATAGCCGCTGAACCTAACGCACTCTGACACGTTCAGCATCTCCGCACTGAACAAGACAGTGTTCTCCACTAATGATCGTATTGGTTGTCGGCGGAGGCGAGTCGCTGACACCATGCTGGTTGATGCATCAGTCATTGCGAAGGCGAAATCGCATCCGACTGCAGAAGTGGTTTGAGGTGGTATTTGAAGGCACAGCGAATCCCACCCATGAAAGATCTTATTTTTATGCGAAGCATAAAAATAAGACCACTTTTTGCATAAAAATAGGATCACGTAGTCTACTGACTTTCCGAAGGACATATACCGTTTCATTTTTATTCTACAGGCCGAACTGCTTCAGAGGAGAATTGGATGAACTTCTCAGCGTTGGTCACTCTCTTCTTGAGATGCGTCGCGTATTCTGCTTCTCAGAGACGTAGTGGCAATGCTATCCGATTCTGCCTATTCAATGACTTACGGGGTTAACAGGTCTTGTCTTCATCCTCCCACATAAGTATGGTGCCAAGTAAGCGGCTTTGGAGGAATGAAAGTGCTACCTGGCACAGTTAGTGTACGGCATGCTATCCCTGTTGATCTGTTGACGGCATCACTTTCCTCTGCCGAGGAACACCCTCTCTCTCGCACAGGAGAGAAAACCAAGTAACAATCCTATCAAATGATAAAATAATCCGTGCAAGTTTTGCCAATTTCAGCTAGGAATGCGTCAGCAACTCGCACTGGGCAATGTTCTGCGGAGACGCTATATGACTGGAACGAATCCGTTCATGGAGAAGAGGTATAACCCCAAACAGGTAAAAAGAAAGCATATGGAGACAACTTCCCATGATTAATTAGAAACGTTTCAATGTTGGCCACTATTATTTTTTTATATTCCTTGTAGGTATACATTCGATCTACAGACGTGAATCGGACGTTAATCTCTGCTTATTCCAACATTGCCGGAATGTTTGCTGGTGGAGAAGCTGGGAAGGATTTCCCAAACGAAACAGAGTGAGTAATAAATTCTGACTAATGGTAGAAAGTCGATGGTTCAGCGACAAACTGACCAACCACCTTCATGCTGCTAGTCCTTGCCGTAGGTGAGGAGAACGGTGCCGCTTTCTCCGGTCCAAAATGCATGAGAATGAGGCTGGTAGGTGGTGATACCCTGGTGCTGTTTCTACACTTCCGCCCGCAGCAGCACGGCCAGCTAGGCGCCTAGTCATAGTCAACGCATTACTTGTCTGCGCTATCTCACCTCTTACTGTTCTCTACCCCTGTGTGGGTGTTTCGTTGCGAGACCTTCGCATCGAAACAAAAGTTGCACCTTGAGAATAGCGCTGGCGCAGTATGGGAACAGTACTTGGATGCCACCACCCTACGGCCCATTCCCGTCCACTTTTAAGAGGGAAAGTGGCACACTACTGCAGCTGCGGACATAACAAGGACCGTTCTTGGGGGTTAGTGCGCTAACGAAGTACATCATAAACTCTTCTTCATCTGCAACAAGTGCTTTTGAAGTATATAATGTTTTTCTGAAGCCTTTCGAACTTGTTGTTAACATATTCTATTCACTTTCAGTAGTGCATGCATTTCAGTTGGCCTACCGGTTGGACT